AATATTAAAATCATTACACACATGGTCTGTTTCTTCTTCTGAAACATCATCAAAATCCGTGTATTGACCAATATCAAAGTCCGGATATTGACCAAGACCAAATTTCGAATACTGACTAGTACTCACAATTTTTTCTGTTGGCTCATCATCGTCTAACTGGTCAATACGAAAACCGGAATTTGGTGCTGAAAGTTGATTGGGATTTGGATTAGAGAAAGGTTGTGGGTTTTGAGAAAAACTTAGTTGATTACTACCCGCTACTGACCCAACAATACTACTTCTAGGTTCAACAACATACAATGTAACATCATCTTGTGAACACTAATGTAAGCAATGAATCGCATCTTCATTGTCGGTTAACAAATAAACTTTACCATTTCTCTGATAAGATAGCCTAAATCCACTTAGGGGCTCTAAATTCAATTTATTTGAAACACGTAGCATTAGAGTTTCATAAGTTAACTTTTGTAAAGACAATTTTAGTTGAAGATTCATGGGTAAAGGCATATATTGTAAAACACCATGAACATTATCCCATGACCCTCCAAAACACAATCTATCCAAACATGATCAACATTAGATGATTTCATGGTTGTAAATTAATTTACTAAACAGACGAGCTGCGAAACTAAAACCTGTTGCCGGATTGGGAAGGATGTCGTTGGATATAGGAACGGATGTCGCCGGAGAGAGTGATAGATGGAGATGGAATGAGTTGCGATTTAGGGATTTAGTTTATGATTTCAGTGTTATATACCCAAAATTTCAGTGTTGTGATTTACAGATTCTCGTTGCGATTTACGGATTATCGTTGCGATTTACAGATTCTCGTTGCGATTTACGGATTATCGTTGCGATTTACAGATTCTCGTTGCGATTTACGGATTATCGTTGCGATTTACGGATACGCATTGCGATTTACCCATACGCGTTGCGATTTACGGATACGCGTTGCGATTTACGGATACGCGTTGCGATTTATGTGTTCGCGTTGCGATTTTCATATTCGCGTTGCGATTTTGGAAAATCGCAATGCGAATTTGTACTATCGCATTGCGATTTTCAAGAATCGCGTTGCGATTTTGGAAACTGATTTGCGATTCTGGGGATCGCGTTGCGATTTTTATTTCGCGTTGCGATTTTGTTGGTCATTTTGGCAAATCCAAAAAAAGTTGGTTAAAATCGTATATTATAACTTTTTTTTTGGTCACTGAGGCGATTTTCTCATTTAATAATTATAATAAAGAATAAATTCATATGAAACAGTAACACTATATAGACCAAAGACCATATTCTTTCATATACAAATAAAATAGAATAACTCGATTAAATTTTATATATAATCGAAATATTAATATAAAAGCAAATTATAAGAATTTTTTATTTTTTATTTTGATCACTAAATTTTTTTCATTTTCATTTTAATCACTAAATTTTTAAATTGTTCATGTTTTAATCACATCATTATAATTAGTTAATGACATTATGACTTGACAGACGAAACTTAAGCTATGTTGTTTTGGATCCATATAAAACTCAGTTTCTCCGTTTTCTTTATTTTCCATATTTCTTTCTTTTCTTCTATTTTCATAGTCTCATTTTCTCTCCATCTATTCAGATTCTGGCCACCACTCGTCGTGATCAATCACTGTGTTAGTCACCACTGATGATCATCAATGGTAACCGATGAGTCCTAAAAATTTTAATCAAACTTGTTTCACCCTCTTAGACATGAATTAAATATATGTTTAATCGAAAAACACTCAAAACTCCACAAATATAGCATTTATGTTTCATTTCTCTTACGAAACCACTATTTTTTTTTATGGTTGTTGATTGTCAAACATACGCCAATAGCTTTCTCTTGCCGTCCTCTTTTCCTTTATATATTAGATTTCACCGAAAATATTTCAACAGCTATAAAATCTCACTTTAAGTTTAGTCTTTTTTATAGACTATTTCAATCGTCAAATAATGACATGTCCGAGATATATCATTCTCCATTTAAAGTGAGACTCTCCTACCATTAGGATAAGAGAAATAATACTTCGATTGCTAGAAATGGGGAAATCCAAAATTCTTTCTTTCTTTTTTTCTAACGATTTCTTAAATTTTCTTTTGTAGGTAAGGGTTATGATTTGGTTAGAGCAAACAGTTTTGTGTTAGGGTGATAGTAGGTTGAGGTTAGGGATTTTCGAGCAATGGTTGATGATCAGGGACGGAAACAGAAATTTATTAAGGCGGAGTTAAAATATTTTTTTTATTTTTAATAAGTATAATTTCTTTTAATTGAGAGGAGCTGGGTAAATTTTTCTTTATTTATTTAAAAAAAAACATATTTTTTCAATATTAATTAATACTTAAAAAAATTGGCTAGAGCCAAAGCTCCTCTTAACCCTCATGAAGTTCCGCCCATGTTAATCAATTTAGTGCTAGACTGGCTTGAGTCATGAGCAACTAGTTTCGTTGCAGGTATGGTTTGGTTGTTAGTTCAGTGTTGAGTTCGATAGCTCTAAATGGTGTAAATTTGCTGGTGTTTCGATGGAGATAATGATGGTTGATATTGAAGGTGGTGATGAAATAGGTAATGAGTAGCAGGAGTGCCTAGTGATTTAATAGTATTCAAGTGAAAAATAGGTCGGTTGCGTTGAGGATCAACGTGATGACTAATTACGACGAACAATGATCGAAATCTAACAAAAAAAATTTTAATGTCTAAAGTTCAAAGATTGAATTAAAATATTTTAATTTTAATAACTAAAATAAAAATGAAGGTAAAATTGAGTAATGGAATTTATAATTTAACCTTATTATGATAATGCACGAATAAATTAGAGATATTTAAATTCGTTTCCTTATAAATAATTACACTAGTTTTCAACTCCAAATGATTACTCTTTAAATCGAAGGATATTATGCAATTAAACAAATTCAAATCTACATCCTAAATGTTGTAGTAACAATTATATCAATCGAATTAATACTCAATTGACTATTCTTTTCGGTTAAGAAACATTTTAGTGGTAAAAAAAATCCAAAAAGAAAATGTAAAAAGTGAAGTGGGCCAAAAAGCTTATTCATGGGCCCATTTCATAATTGAATACCTCTCCTGAACATGGGGTCCGGCCAGCCTAAGAGCAAAATAACAGAAGCAAAAAAATTGCCACGTGTCCACTCAATTTAATTATGGGAAACTACAGGGAGACCACTAAACTATGGTAGAAAATCAATGTGACCACCGAACTTTCAATTGAATCAATCAGACCACACAACTATTTAATTGATTCAATCAAACCACTGACTATTAATTTTTAACAGAGGTGGTGACATGTTCATTAAGCTTAATTGGCATAATTATATATTTGGCCCTTAATATTTACATATTCTATCAATTTAGTCACTATTTTAATTCAATTAAATAAATTTAACTATCAAATTAGAACATGACATGTGTCAAAAAATGATTGAAAGTTTTTATTTTTGAATTTTAAATTATTTAATTAAATAAAGTTATGCTCCAAGGGATTCGAGCCAAGGTCACGTGAGGGGGGATAAAGTAGGTGCCCAAACCATTGGGCTAAAGGTCTCTAATGGTTTAAAGTTACAACAATTTGTATTTGTCTTCTAAAGGTTTGTTAAGGATAAAAAATTAAACAAATTATTTGTTTAAACAAATTATTTGTTTAAACAAATTATTATTTAAATTAATTGTATACTATTTTTTTGAATAAAAAATATTCAATTTTTATATAAATTAGAATTTTTTTAAAAAAATCGTTAATTAAAAAATTGACTAAATTAACCGAAATTTGTTCGGTTCGGTTAATAATTTTCAAATAAAATTCGATTAGATTAATGGTTAAAGAAAAAAATAGGTTAATTTGGTTCGGTTAATAATTTTCAAATTAATCCGGTTCGCTTAATAATTTTCAAATAAATTTTGGTTTGATTAACCGAACGAATTAACCTAATTTTTGTTTCGATTAATTCAATTAAAAATTTAAAAAATCGGTTAATTCAGTTTGATTAATAATTTTCATATTAGTTCGATTCAGTTAATAATTTTCAAATTAACCGAACCCATTTAATCGAATTTTTGCTTCGATTAATTCAGTTAATAATTTTTTAAAAAAAATCGGTTAATTCGGTTCGGTTAATAATTTTCAAATTAATTCAATTCGGTTAATAATTTTCAAATAAATTTTGGTTCGATTAACCGAACCGAATTAACCGAATTTTTTCCTTTAACCGTTAATCAGACCAAAATTTATTTAAAAATTATTAGTCGTTAATAATTTATTTATTTTTTAATAATTTATTTAAACAAATAATTTATTTAGTTTTTTATCCTAAACAACCCTTTAAAAGACGAATACAAATTGTTATAACTTTAAACCATTGGGGACCTTTGGCCCAATGATTTGGGCTTCTGCTCTATCCCCCTTTGCGTGAATCTGGTTCGAATTCCTTGGAGCGCAACTTTGTCTCTTTAATTTTCACTTTCATTGGGTGGTGAAACGTGTCACCATCTGATTGGGTAGAAAAATTATTTAATTAAATAATTTAAAATTCATAAATAAAACCTTCTAATTATATATTGACACGTGTCACGTTCTAATTAGATAGTTAAATTTATTTAATTGAATTAAAATAGTGACTAAATTGATAAAATATGTAAATATTAAGGACCAAATATATAATTATGCCAATTAAGCTTAACATACACATTATCACCTTTGTTAAAAATTAACAGCCGGTGGTTTGATTGAATCAATTAAATAGTTTGGTGGTCTGATTGATATAATTGAAAGTTCGGTGGTCACATTGATTTTGACCATAGTTTAGTGGTCTCCCGTGTAGTTTACCCTTTAATTATTTAGGAAAACACTATAGATTTTAAATATTTAAAAAAAGGATTTTCTTTTACATGCATATGCCGAACTGTATATTGATCCCACTCTATAAATATACACAAATCCCATTTTCTCATTACCCAAACACCCATCCGTAAGAAGAAGAAAAAAAACTCTCATAAATTCTATATGGCTGATTTCACATCAGATTTGCAAAATTTCAAATATTCATTTTCTTTCTTGGATACTGATCCTACAGCCATGGAGTCATCACTTGGTGGTGTGCTAAACCAAAGCGTCATAGACAATTCATTTGCCTTGAATTTCCAAAGCTTCTTCCCCTTCTCCAACGACAGCTTCTTCAGCAACCAAGGAGCTGAAATTCCGGGAAACTGCAGAGAAAATCCACCTGGTTTTTTCCATGATACCAACCAGGGTTTAGCTGCAGCACTTTCAGTTTCTCGGTCACCCATTGTCACTGCTAAAAACGAATTCCAGGAAAGCAACAAGAGGAAATCATTGGATGTCTCGGAAAGTAGTTCTGGGAATTCATCGTCTCCTCAAACTTTTGAAAGCTGTATCAAGAGAAGAAAAGAAACAACAATGAAAAGAGCAAAAAACAACAATGAAAAGGAAGATCAAAAGAAACCAAAAGATGTTGTTCATGTGAGAGCCAGAAGAGGTGAAGCTACTGATAGTCATAGTTTAGCAGAAAGGGTAAAATTTCTTCATTTTTTTTGCAACATTTAAGTTTGATTGATTTAACCATTCCAACCAACTGAAAATGATGTTTTGTTTTGTTTTTACCAATCAGGTTAGAAGAGGGAAAATAAATGAGAGACTGAGATGCTTGCAAGATATTGTCCCCGGATGCTACAAGGTAAATTCATGTATAAAATACATTAAAACTAGTCAAAGAAATCACTTGAAATTTTTCTAATGTGTTTGATTAGTTGCAGACCATGGGCATGGCGGTCATGTTAGATGAGATCATCAATTATGTCCATTCCTTGCAGAATCAAGTTGAGGTAACAATTATGTCCAGTCATGTTACATGTATATATGTATATATGTATGTATATACAGTTACTATATAAATTCAGTGACCTAATTATATCTATTACTGCTTTTGAAATGTTTACAGTTTCTTTCACTGAAGCTAACTGCAGCAAGCACTTACTACAACTTCAACTCAGACTCAGATGCCATGGAAAGATTGCAGGTATAGCTGGAAAGTATGTACATAGTATTTTTATGGCATAATGTCAAAAAATATCCCTAACATTTGATTAAATAATTATTTTGATCTTTATTTCCTTTTTTAAGCATTTTGGTTTCAACGTTTCATTTAGGGCAAAAAAGTCATTATTTTTGGAACGTTGATAGTTTGTTGTCCAATGATTTTTATCCACGGAGTGACTTTTTTACCCTAAAATAAAATATTGGAGGTAAAAATACTTCAAAAAAATAAAAGACCGAAATGATTATTTAATCAAACATTAATAACATTTTTGTCATCATACCAATTTTTTATATTTTTTATCTATGCAAATTTTAATATCTCAGTGTATTGATTGAATGAATGACAATTTTCAGAGGGAAAAACACATTTGGAAAGATTGAATAGAGAAGGAGATGTTGGAGGGGTAGGATGCTTCTACTCATCATCATCATGGTCCTCTTTCACTTAATTTTCCTTGCAAACACATATGATCATGGAATTCCACCTAGGCTAGAATATGTGAAAAAAATTATACTTGTAATATTGCCACTCTCACAAGAAATTAAAGTGTTGGAGAATATAAAATATTTCAAAAGAACCATTCTCACATCTTTTAATCAAACTTTTCAGTTTATTTATTAAGTGTTGTAAGAGTTATTATGTGAGGATAGATTCACATGAAAATTTAAAATTATTATATATTTTAGATATTTTCGTTGTATTTTATATTGATAATTTATTTTCGTTCCCTAGAATTTTAATAGTTCGTCTCTCTAATATAAAATATTAAGCCTGTTCGTGAATCTAAACATATAATGTAATATGGAATTTCGAATTTTTACTTGTAATTTTCATTTGATTTAAGCTCACAGCAATGTCATGCAACAAAACCTTAATGGACATGATTAGACTTGGATGCTTTGTAATTAGGGTAAAGGATGATCAAAATGACAGCAAAAAGTAAAAAAAAAAAACATTTGGACTTTTGGAACATTAAGCTTAACAAAAGTAAGTACTTAGGTTGAGTAATTTTAATCAGTTCCTTTCTGAACAGACTTCACTTACGTTTTAGACCTTAGTTAATGACAAAAATAGGAGTCCATGGTTGATTGTTTAAGAAAGGGTAAACAACACGTTTAGTACCCAAATCACTTTTGTTTCGTTTTAGTCACCCATTTTTTTTAAATCATACCTAAGGTTACATTTTGGTTTCATTTTGGTCACCTATCATTAAAAATTAACAGAACTGCTGACGTGTCATTTTTTTTAAATTTTTTTAATAATGATGTGACATTATCTTATAATGACACATATGTATCACAGTTAATTTTTTAACGACGGATGACGAAAATGAAACCAAAACTAAACATTAGGTATGGTTTTGAAGAAAAAAATAGTTAGATGAACAAAATCTAATTTATCCTTTAAGAAAACCCAACAAATCAATATGACTTTAGGTATTTTGTCTGATCAATTCAACTGATATTTGAATAGTAAATGGTTAAACATTGAATGGATAGACTTAAGGCATAATGTTAAAATTAGCCCCAACGTTTATAAAAATGGTTATTTTGTCCCATATTTTATTTTTTGGAGCATTTTGGCTTTCAACGTTTCATTTTAGGGTAAAAAAGCCCCTAACATTTGACATAATAATCACTTTGTCCCTTATTCTTTTTTTTGGGACATTTTGACTCTCAATGTTTCATTTAATGTTAAAAAATGCTCCTATTTTGGAACGTTAATCATGTGTTAACAAATAGTTTTCATCTATAGAGTGAACTTTTTGCCCCGAAGTGAAACATTAGTGGCCAAAATGCTCTAAAAAGAAAGAATAGGGGTCAAAATGACTATTTTAATAAACATTTGTGCTATTTTTGACATAAAGACTAGACTTAGGTATAGGTAAAATGTTGTCACCAAAAGATAAAAGTACTATTTTAGTCTTTGAAACTTCAAAAACCCCACACTTTGTAGAGACATATAACCATGACATGTTTAGAAGAAACAACGGATGAAAACATGACATGTTTGTGTTTTACTCTTAGTGATGGAATTTCATCTCAACTCGTTTATCCGTACCTATACCTAATGTCTTCCTCAAACTACCTTTTGATTTCGAATCCAAAGTACATCCATTTATATGCACAATTGCAAATATTATTACCATCAGGGAAAACTAAACTGCTCTCTATTAGTAGAATTTAAACCCATGTCTTAAGGTATATAGCATATTTTTATGTCATAATAACAAAAAAAAAATATTCTTAACGTTTGATTAAGTAGGCATTTTGACACCTATTTTTTTTGAAGCATTTTGACTCTTAACGTTTCATTTTGAGGTAAAAAGACCCTTCTCTGGATGACAATCATTAGTCAACAAATGATCAACACTCTAAAATAAAGGTCTTTTAGCCCTAAAATGAAACTTTCAAAACCAAAATACTCTAAAAAAATAATAATAAAGATCAAAGTAATTATTTAGTCATATGAAAGGACAAAATCAGGATTGAACTATGAGGGGACAAGGTGTTTAACTTTAAAATAAATAAGGTCTTTAAAATTGAATAAGCCATAAAATTTAAAGGAGTTATGGTTTAATTTCACTAATTTTAAAATTGAAGGGTTTTAGAGAATTAAACTAGAAAATTTAGAAGTCAAAATTTGATTTTAAAACTGAAAGAGTCTTAAAATATAATTAAACCAGTAATTTTTGGAAGAGGCAATGACTTAATTGTAATGGTTTCAAAAATATTAGTAGCCTAAAACTAATTAAACTATCAAAATTAGAGGGGTAATTGTCCTTCCCACCTCCAACGTAGATTTGTCCGTGGTCATATGTTATAAGTTTTTTTGTCCTAAAATAAAACATTGAGGGTCAAAATGCTTTAAAATAATAATATCTAAAATGACTATTTGGTCAAATATTTAAAAAAAATCTATTTATGTCTATTTTTATATACTGATAGCACTTGAGCAGGAACAAATACAAATTTTTATGCTAGTAGGTGGACCTCTAAAATTTTAGGATGAGACAAATTTATAAAATTTCAAGGAGGCGAAAAAAGATTTTCAATAAAATATTACATAAAAAGTCTAAAATATATGATAATTTTAAATCTTTAGGAGGCGACTACCTCACCCGTCCCTCGGTCCATCTCTGCACTTGAGCATATAGACCACATAGACATAATCAGTGGTGAATCCACATGTAATCAAGGGTGGACACGTTCCCACTCTGAAATATAAATTTTTTTCAGTTAATTATCTATTTTAAAAATTCATTTATGCCTACTCTAAAAATATTTCTAGATACTTTACATGATATAAAATTTATTGAGAACTTTATCGACTATCTAACTAACGACTTTTCAGAAACTTCATTTAGAAAAGTCAATAATCTCTTTATACGAATTAAATTTTAATGTATTAAATAATTCTAAGTTTATATGTGAGACCGGTAAAAAATACTAGGAATAAATTGTGTGCATGCCATAGGTAAATGATGGTTGTTACCTGTAAATAAATAAATGGTTATCATTGTGGATCATCCATGGCATATAAAACACAACAAATAATTAGGAACAGGTTGATATAAAAATCCTACTTGTCGGTAAGAAATAAGAATGTCCTAATCCTTTTGGGCACCAACATTTTAGGGGGTATGCCCCATAAAACAATAAGATCACGATGCAATGAAACCACAGCCAATTTGGCTAATACACGTGGTAGGAAAAAGAACGAAGCCCTAAACTCACAAGATACACACTTAAAATTTTATATTTTAAATAATTATTCGATATACTCATATATTCGTAATTTATTTCATGTCTTATTTATTTAAATTTTTTTATTTAAACTCATTGAACGATCTCAGTAGTAAAAGAGAGTATTATAACTATTGTTCTCCATAGAGATATCAAGTTCGAGCAGCTGCATATGTAGGATCAGGGCCGGCCCCAATACCTGTGCCACTTGGGCCTTAGCCCAGGGCAGCAATAATTGAGGGGCATCAGTTTTGCACATATATCGTTGGGTTTTCGTTGGAGTTTTTGGACAAAATGAGTTAATGAGTATTCTTTGGATGATGTTACTAGTCTAAAAAAAAGTTGGATTCTTTTTCTTTGGGTGAAAAGTATTGAGAATACACCAATCTGGGTTATTTGGGTGATGGGTTTTTCTTTTTGAATATTTGAAAGAATGCCTGTTTTGTTTTCTTTATTTGCATCAATGGCTTTTGATTTTTATTTGCATTTCTTTATTCAGGGAAGTTAAGGTAAAATAGAAATGGGTTTTATGCAATGTAGTTTTAGCTGTAGAAAAAACGTAAAACTTAGGCATAAAATGTATTAAGTTCTCATTTCATCTCGAATCAAAGCTTTATGAGTTTAGTTCACTTTGTTTAACAAACCTAGTGCTTATAGTTTGATTGTTTGAATTTTGATTGTGTAGTGGAAAACTTAGTTTGATGGAGGGAAAAAACAGTGGCTAAATATTTTCGTTCAAGATATTTTTTAGAGTGATTCCTTCCTACTATTTTGATTTCATCATTAATTTTCCAGATCAGTTGATTGTGAGAAAGAACAAGTCAACAACATTAACTTCGGTCACCGGTCAGGTTGTATCCTTCCTTGCTAATATATTTGTTTTATTATTTACTTGCTACTATATTTGTTTTATTGATTACTTTTAAATATGTTATCTCAAAAACAACCATCGGGTGCCCAAAATAGAAAACGAAAAAAAACAAGAACAAGAAATACAATACAAGTATAGGGGCATAAAATTATTATCTCGCTCAGGGTATTAAAATTCATTGGTCCGGCCCTGTGTAGGATTTGTGTGCGTTGTCAATGACTAAAAAAAGATTATAAACACATACCGCCTTATAATCATACCAAACTATTCAAAAAAGAATTATTTTTAAACATTAATCAACAAAATGTGAGACACTACCGATTTATCAAATAATTTTTATATTTTACATAGATTTATGATCGTTAGATGAGTGGAAATAGACGGTTGAGATTAACTCCTTGTTTTGTTTTTCAAGTGAATATCTCTTCTCGTTTCCTATTGTTAATATTAACTGTCTATTTTCACTTATCAAATAGTTCTAAATCCGTGTAAAACTAAAAAGTTATTTGTAATTGTATCATATCCCTTTATATACTATTAGTATATAAATTATTTATGCATTGCTTTGGTTTTTTTTAAGAAATGTTTCAATGAGATTTATATACTTTTAATGCAATAAATACATATCCCAAAATCTAATGGATGTTGGCTACTCATTAAGTGAATGATTGGAGGGAAGTTGATAGGGAAGGGAAACAAATTTTGAAATTTATTTTATTTTATTTATAGTTATATTTTGTTTTTTATAGTGAGAAATAAAAATAAAAAAGAAATAGGGGCAAATGCAGTGCACAAAAGAAGTTGAGGAATGCAACAGCATGGAGGATGACAGCTTGAAATGGGGCAGGCCATGCCTACAAGAGGATGGGGCAATGTGGGTTCTCCAACATTTGTGAATCATAATT